GCGGTTTCCCAGCAAAGGCCCCACCCTCAAGCCTGGAAACCTGTGGCCCTAAATGGGAACAGACATTCCTGTTTTTGTGTCTAAATGTTGCCTTTTGGCTGGCCACATCCCCCTATCCTGTACCTATATAAACCCCCAAACCCCAGGCTCCCTGAGCGAAGAGCAGAGGAGCAAAACAGCAGCAGAGCAGAGTGGCAAAGAAGAGAAGGAGCATCTGACCATCCAGAGGAGTTCAGCTGGGGACAGTGGGAAAGCAGACTGGCTACAGGACGGCTGAACCCCACGGACAATCATCTTCCCACTCCTTCCCCTTTCCAGTTCCATCCATCCCACCAAGAACCACTTCCATCCGGCAATAAAATCCCCCACAATTACCATCCCTTAATTTGTCTATGTGACATGATTCTTCCTGGGCGCTGGACAAAAACCTGGGTACCAACAGGGTACTGAGTTGGTTAACACTTAAGCCATCTGGAGACAGCAGAGCTAAAAGAGCACTGTAACATGGCCACTGGGAGCTTTGGGAGTGGCAGGCACCCACCCTAGACGCTACTATGGGGCCAGAGTCTAAAAGCACTTGCCCTGGCTCCTGCACCTGCCCATCTGCTCCTCCTCCCATAAGGGGTTTGAGCATGCCGTGGCCAAACAAATGAGTCAGAGAACTCCCTCATTTCAGTTGCATGCGGCTAGGCACAGGGACTGACTACAAAGGGAGACAAGAGAACATTCTTGGGGATGGAATAGTTTATACCTTGATAAAGGTGGTGGTGACATCAGAGTACACATTTGTCAACATTCATTGAACTGTTCACTTAAAAGCAGTGCATTTTATTGTGTGACATTATTCCTTAGTAAACTTGATATAAACTTTTTTTAAAAAGCTACAAACCCTCATATATGTAAGCTCCAATCTCCAACCCCAATTTATTCATTTCTTTCAGAACTCAACAAATGTGTATTGAGTATGTAGTATCTGCGAGTCTTTATGCTGTGAGATAAGGACACAAAGGTGACAGAGATGGTTCCTGAGGTCATGAATACCACAGTCTAGTCTGGAGGACAAATGTTACATCATCAAATAAATAACGTCATCATCATAACTGTCACAAAGGCTATGAAAGAAATGTACATGAGGTTTTGAGAGCTTATAGTAGAAGTCGACCTAGTTGAGATTCAGATAAGTTGTGGCTAAGTTTAGTTGAGATCTGAAAGATGGAGAGGACTTGATGCTTGGGGTGTTCTTTACAAAAAGAGAAGAGCACGTTCAAAAGCCCTGTGACAGGAAGGAATATTGCTGTCGAAGGATCTGAAAGCAGGGCAACATGGCTGAAGGACAGAGATGGAGAGGAGGACTGAGAAAAACATGTTGGGAGAGTGGGGCAGGCCAGGCCATAAGGGCCTTCGGACAAAGCTTGGGATCTTGGTATTATCACTGGAGCAATGGAAATTCACTGAACTACAGATAATGGGAGTTGATGAGATCAGCTCTGTGTTTCAAGACAGTCTCCCTGGCCACACTGGGGAGAACGGTTTAGAAGAGAGAGGTGGCATATGATCACAGAGGGAAAAGCTAAGAGGTTCCTGGGGAAGTCCTAGAGAGAGGTACAGATGGGCAGAACTGGACAGATTCAACAGGCAAAGTCAACCTCAAGAAGGGTTGATGCGGGGAAAGTAGTTTATAAAATTTCGGGCTGGTCCAACTAGATGGGTGGGGGGCATGGGCAATACAGAGTGGGTCAGGTTTGAAAGGAAGACCCAACATGTGGTTTCAGACCTGTGGGGTTTGAGGCTCCTGAACCATCAAGCTCTTTCAGGCTTTCCTCTCCCTGAAATGCCCTCCCGTCCCCACTTTCTGACAAGAGAAATTCCATTCATTAATGCATGCCCAGCTCAGGTCTCACAGGCTCCTTCCTTTTCTACAGATAGTTCATCATTTCTTCTGCATTAGCTCTCCCTCCAGGACAAGCTCCTCTCTTAGCCGGAATTGCAATATTCTCTTTACAAGCTGTGTTGTCTATTAAGCTGTTGGCTCCCGGGGGGCAGGGCTGTGAATTCCTCTTTGCACCCCTAGCACCAGTGCAGTGTCACCATAAAACAGCTGATCTGTACATATTTGAGAGATTGAAGTAAGCACATATACAACGTTTAGTATTTCCATAGTGCCTTTCTTCTGAAGAGCTCAAGAAGTTACAGAACAGATATAAATATATGTTTGCAAGTGGAGCTGTGAAAGGTGAGCTATTGCAGGCATTGGGTGAGCAATGAGAAGGAAAGAGGAGATTTTTGCCCTTTACCAGGTCATTATATAAGTTAGGAATACTTTTGGCTACAAAATTAGAAAATTCATTCTTAGAGACAAAAACAAACATGGGTTATTTTTCTCATGTAGGAAACAGTTCATCCAGAGGTGGACAGTTGCATACTTTGGCTCAAGTGCTCAGCAATAGCACACTGACTCTATTTTCCAGTGTGTTGTCCCCACTATATTGACCTTTTGGCCTCACAGTCTTTGGCTCTTGGTTGCAGTCTGGTTGTAGCATCACTAGGCATTTCATTTGCATTCAAAGCATAAAGAAAGTGGGAAATGGGCCAGGTGTGGTAATGGATATAAAACACAATAATCCTAGCACTTTGGGAGGCCGAGTTGGGCAGATCACCTGAGGTCAGGAGTCGAGACCAGCCTGGCCAACATGGTGAAACCCCATCTCTACTAAAAATACAATAATTAGCTGGGTGTGGTGGCAGGTGCCTGTAATCCCAGGTTCAAGAGATTCTCCTGCCTCAGCCTACCAAGTAGCTGGGATTACAGGCACCTGTGACCACATCCAGCTAATTTTTGTGCCATTGAACTCTAGCCTGGGCAACAAGAGTGACATGGTGGTGGTGGTGGAGGAGGAGCAGGAGGAGGGGGCGGGGGAGGAGGAGGAGGAAGAGGAAGGGAAGGGGGAGGAGGGGAAGAGGGAGGAGGAGGAGGGGAAGAGGGAGGGTAGGAAGGGAGAGGAGAGGGGAAAGAGAGGAGTCCATAGTAGAGAGGGAGGAGGTGGTGGAGGAGGGGGAGGAGGAGAAAGGAAAAAGAAAAGAAAGTAGGAAATGGAAAAGCAGAAACAGAAAATTTGACCCAGGTTTAGCTAACGAGTTGAAAAACAAATTCTTTGATCCAATCCAGCACCTATCCATCTTTTAAGATAAATAACAGGCTTTCCATTCAACTGGCTCATGCTTGAGCTGCTCAGCAGATCTAATGCAAACTCTCTAGGCCCATGGCAATGTGTTCTCTAGTTTGACTTTTCTTCCTTTTTGAATTAGAACACTAGTGGTTATGTATTTAGTGAGCTCGGGCCCTGGAGGTCCAGAGAAGGAGAGTGGCTGGGTCATGTTTTGGGGTTTTGGGTTTGGTTTTTGTTTTAGTAACAATCACCCATGTAAGAGGATTTATTAATTTTATGTTGGAGAATTGTTCTTCAGGTTTCACGCGTGTGGTCATCTATTATGATTCTAAAGGAGGAAAGGGCAAGAGGAACATAGCTCAAACAGGTGGAAAGGAAGTCCTTCATCAGCTTCCACTTGCTACACATATACTCCTCTTCACCTAAATCAAAACAGAAAACCACGTTCTTGACGACACTAGAGTGAAAGACATCAAAAGTGTATCATGAATCCTTGCTATAAACATAAGCCAACACATTGCCCAGCTACAAACATGAGTAGTTAAGAGATCAGCTAAGGGCTGCTTGGGGAACATACTTTGACAGCAGCAGCTCCAGAACCTGCACCTGAACACAGGTTGTAACCCACGTCTGAGATCTTCCATGCTGGCATTAAACTGCTCCCTCACCTGGGTCCTCAACATTTCACACAAGCCTCAGCAGAGCGCTGAGTGCACGTTTCTCCTCTTCTCCAGACCAACAGCTCCCTTAGAGACCTTGCCCTAAAGCCCTGCAGAGTCTGGTTCACCGCAGGTATTCAAATATCGAGGCTGAGTGAACGGTCCACGTGTACCCGCTTAGCTCCTCCACTAGCAGGAGTGCCCATTATACGGGAAATACAGAATTCTCACCAAACGATCACAGCACCTACAGAAATGCATTCAGCCTCAGACACAAACCTTCTGCCTTCTCCAAGGGCCTGAACATAAAGTGTGACAGAAGCAAGGTTGTAATCAAACCTCAAGCTTATTTCAGGTTTGTTTTTTGTTTGTTTTGTTTTGTTTTGTTGAGTCAGGATCTCACTCTGTCGCCCAAGCTGGAGTGCAGTGGTTCATTGCAACTTTCGCCTCCGGGGCTCAAGCGATCCTTCCACCTCGGCCTCCCGAGTAGCTAGGACTAGAAAGGCGCCACCACACTCGGTTAATTTTTGTATTTTTTGGTTGTCTTGGATCAATCACAATCCTGGGTTCTGTCACTAGGGAAGAAAGGAAGAATGGGTTGGCAATTGGGAAGACAACTCACCATGTTTGGCCTGGCTGGTCGGACTCCTGACCTCAAGTGATCCGCTCGCCTCGTCCTCCCGAAGTGCCGGGATTACAGTCGTGAGCCACCGCGCGCGGCCATATTTCAGTTTTCAGTCAGCTTTCTCCTCCCTCCGGCTCCACCTGGGACTTCAGTCTACCTCCCCAGGCTACCCGGATAATTCTCTCAACACCCGGGTAATTCATGCTCACTCTTCAGGTCTCGTGGACGTCAGCTCCTCCAGAAGCCCCCCTGACCTGCCCCCTACCCCGGGTCTGGATCAGGTGACGCTCTGCGCGCAGGCTCAGTAGGTCTGTGACCGCCTCCGCCTGGTTGTCTCCTAATCGCCCATTGGTCGCTTTGCTTTTCTAGACTGTTACCTCCACGAGGGCAGGAGGTAATCTTGTTTTCTCGTCCCCACGGCTTATGACGCCGCCTGGAGCTTAGTAAGGGCTCAACATTTTGGAATAAATTCAAGGGTGGCGTGTCCCCACACTGGGCCGTGCGTCACCCGCACAACATCTATCTGGGGATTTCCAGCCTTAGGCCCCAGTCTCCCCTCAGCTGAGACTTGGGACTCTGTACCCGGGAGGCGCGCCCGGCAACTTGGGACCCGCCTCCAGGGTCCCAGAGCGACCCCGCCCGCCCGGGCTGTGTTCCTGCCAGCGGCTCCCAGGCAGGAGCCTGCGAGCAGGTGGGGGCGGCGGCCCCGCCTCCGCGTCCCGGCAGCACCAGAGCTGGCGGCCGGGGAGCAAGCCGGGCGCACTGAGCGCAGCACCGAGCACGGCTCGGCGGTAGCGGCGCCGCCTGGAGCACGGGAGCTGCGGGACCGAGCCCAGAGTCGGAGGCGGCAGCTGCGAAGACGTCGGCCGGAGCTCGAGTCCAGTCTAGCCCCCGGCTCCGCCACCTGCAGGTAGCAGCTCCCCGCGCGGGTGTGGGTCTGTGCCCGAGGGTGGAAGGAACCGACAGTGTCGCGGCGGCCGCCCTGGCCGGTCCCGGAGCAGAGTGGCCAGGCCCGGGACGGGGATCCTGCGCGCGTGGGAGGGCCGGGGTACCCCAGCCGGGCTGCAGTCCCGGGCCCGGGAGGTCGTCGATGTGCTGCGCGGCGCTCACGCCCCCTACCCGCACCCTGCCGCGCCCCCCGGGCCGGGCCGGAACCGCACCGCGGGTGGGGAGCTAGGTCACCGAGGGGTTGTCTGATGAATTCCGCGGACCGGACTCTTCAGTGAGCAGCCCCTGGCGCCAAGGCCGCCTCGGCCTGTTCCTTCGCGACGCTGTCTGTTCTCTGCTTCACCCCCAGAACAAAAGGCTGGGGTCTCGCTGGGGAGGGGGCTGTCGCGGGAAGAGCCGGGGCGGAGTAAAGGAGAACTAGGAAATTGCAGAACCGGAGGTGGCCTGGGGGATACAGAAGGAGCCCCCTAGTGAGGAAGCCAACTCCAGAGATGTGAAGTGACTTGTCCAAGGTCACACAGCTCGTGGAGACAGAGCGCAGGTCTCTGGACGCCCCTCCTGGTACTCATCTCCAAGCCCCTGGCGTCAGTAGTCAGACTGTGCTCCAGAAATGTACATGTGGCCACAGATGGGTTTAGGGTCGTTTGGAGGTTTGGGGGTGGGGGTGGGTAGGTAGGTGGCAGAGCCGATTTTCCTTGGCCCCTGACACGCACTCCCTGGAGGTGGTGGGCAGGACCGATACCCGGCCCTGAACCTGGAGGAGCGCGGCCCGGGCCCCCGTGGGTAGTCAGGCACCGACTTTCAGGAACAGCGCCTTTGGAGAGTGGCGTGCCAGCCGCGTAGGTGTGCCCGTGGCGGGCGCCGGGACGGCCTGGGGACAGTGTGTGCGCCTCCCCCTGGAAAGAAGTTCTGCAAGGAAAGGTTGGAAGAGCGATTCCAGGCGCCTTGGGACAGTCTGGCCGATCCCTGACAGCGCGCTTTGTAACTGGCTGCACTGGGGAGGAAAGTTACTCTGTAGCAGGAAGTTAGTCTGTCCCTTCGCATCTGTGCCTCGGGTCCTTGTCTGTAAATGAAGGCTTTGTTTAGCATGACCTGTGTGATATATTATAAGGTTTGTGCCCCTCCTCTTCGTCCTTTCCGGAATCTTTTCTCTGTTCAGAGGAAGGACTGCGAGTGCATTTCTTATAGCCAGCATTAATAGTTATCACTGGTACTCCTGCCTGCCTTTAATTTTTTTTTTTTAACTTTATCATTACGGAAGAGGTCAGAAGAGAGATTCTTTTGGGGCCTTGCAAGGAGATAAACTCCAGATCAGTGCCTGGACAGGACACGAGGAAGGCTTCTGGGATGCTAGAAATGCTTCTCACCTTGACCTAAGGCGTGGCCACACAGGTGTACACATAAAAAAATTACTGACGTTATACCCCTGAGACTTGCACACTTGACTTAGGTCAATTCTGCCTCAATGAAAAGGTAAATAAAAATGTAATGCTAAAGTCCACTCATTGTGGTAACACACAGATGGCTGCAATTTTTCAGCTAATGCATTTTAGAGATACATTTGGAAACCACAAAAAACAAATTAGAAAAGAAGTGGCAGGTCAGGTGGTGGGGAGCAAAAGAAAGTTTAAGTAGTAACTGGAAATGAAACATACACTGCAGATGCCTTTACGTGCATTACCTCCTGTGATTCGCAGCAGTTAACAGAGATACTGTTATTGCACCTTTTTTCCAGATGAGAGAATAAAAAATCACAGAGGTTGAATTACTTACTCAGGGTAAGAGGCTGGGTACACAGAATTCACATTCTAGACAGGCAACCTTCAACAGGCAATTTGTGGCCACCTGAATGGGGCAGAGCGGTCCAGGTGACAGAGTCTTGTAGGCTGGCTTCCTGCCATTGCCCCCTTTTTGTTCCTTTTAGGAGTCTCTGTTTTCATGTAATTGTGAATGTGACACTGTGTCACAGATTGCAGTTAGCCAGCAGCAGAAGGAATGGAGGAAGTCTGTGTGTGTGTGTGTCTAAGAACATACAGTTATAAGAACAGGGGAAAGCCAGCTGGTCTAGCCTGGCAACACTCTTTTTAGGAGACTTATTGTTCAGAAACCATATAGTACAGGTTGTGAGTTTGCAGTCACTCAAACACATACACAAAGAATAAAGAATATGACCTAGAAAAGACCCAAGAAAACAAAATGTGATTAGAGGGAAACATAGAATTTTCACCAGGCAGGCACGGTCAACTTTTTTACGTTCTCGAATTTATAAATATGTTTATTAATGTTGAATTAAAAAAAAAAAAACCTACACAAGTAACTCAGCAAAAGGAAGGAAATGTGTTTTCTAGTAAATGTGTTATAAATATTTAATATATTTGACTTTGGTGCAGGAATATTTAAAACATTAGGGTACAGTAGCATTAAATCTACAGAGAAATCCTGAGAACTTTGTCATAATGTGTGGTCTTCTAGCAATTTTTTATAATTCTGCCTAATACTCAGAAGTTAAAGAGGTAGAAATGTGTTTGTTCTACTGGCGAGTTTCAAGTTGCGGAGTTGAATGTTCGTCTTAGGAAGTTTTGGTGTAAGGAACCTGGGTTAAGGGGAGCAATTTAGAAAGATCTCCGGGCAAGCCCCCCCTTCCCAGTGCCACTGAGCATGGCTCTGCATCACAAAGTCATCTTTAGGCAAGTTGTGCCTTGTCACAGTAGCGCTTCTGCCATCTGGCTGCTGGAATATTTAGAAAAGGATCGTAATGTTTGACTGACTTTGTCGACAGTATGACAAAACAAACTTCCATGGGGAACTATTAAATATGAGTTAGAGTTGGTGAGAAAATGATTAATTGCTTGGTTTTTTTTAGCCACTGTACAAAACCGAAGAGAGATGCCTTTCCCCAGCCTATGCTGGGCCTGGGCAGCACATGTGTTTTCTCACTGGCTTCGGCCACTAGTGCACTTCAAACTCCCCCTTTGCAATTCTAACTGGATCTTTCCTTAGACCTGTTCAAGAGGGAAGCCGACCATTATGCAGCAGGAGAATTGTATAGTGAACTGTGGTGTTCAAGTGCCAAAGAGATAAACTAAAACAGAGTGAATGTGACAAAAATGCCCAGCGGGTATTATGTGGGCCAGGCACTGTGGAGGAAGATTTTCAAGTGTATCTTGAAGGAATATTCATCCTATGTGGGTGGCATATTCCAGCTAACACCACATCTAGGTTGGTGGCATCCAGGAGAGAATGCCAGACCTGCCTATGGACTGTGAGAGTCAGCTCCTGATTAGCTAGGAGGAGGCAGTAGTCAGCCTCAGTGCTTGAATTTCTGAGAACGTGAGTCGGTGTGAGTGCATGTATGCATCTCAGCAAGGCGCCCAGGTTGCCAGCCACTGTTCCTTAAGAGCTAATGGCTAGCTAGCCCTGGCTGGGGCTAGGCTAGGAGCTTTATATGTAGGACATCACTACAACAGCCCTATAGGGAGCTGATTCTTCATACTTCATTATCAAAGGGGAGACAGAGGCCAAAGGCTGGCTTACTATCAGAATGATCATGTCGCACCTTGCTCTCTGGTCTTTTCTAAGTTCACTTATAACCCCAAGGGGTCCCCAACATACCTGACTCTCTCTTATTGCACCTGAGCTCCTGGAAGGCAGGAGCTGTGTTCACTTCATCTCCATTCCCAGCACCTGCCCCATGCCTGGGTACTTCCTAAAGATTGTTAGAAGAATCAATGACTGTAAATGGATGAATGTGTAATTGTGTGAGTGAATGAATGAATGAATGAATATCTAGAAGTATGTTCCAAGATCAAAAGCCAATTATTGGTTTTGTTTTATCTCTTGTTTTAGCTTTCACTGTCTCATTCCCTTTTGTTGATATGGCTTATCAGGCATAATTGTATGGATGAGATTTACAATAGGTATCTCCTTTAGGGCTCAGCCTATAAAATTGGAAAGCCTCTGCCTCTTTAACAAATTATTTCTTCTTTTGTATAACTTATGTAAGTCAGAATACCTGGACTATTTTGCATGAATCTTGCATGCATCAATTATGTACTGTATGATCTTGGACAAATTACCTACTCTCTCTGTGTTTTCGTTTTCTTATCTACAAAATGAGGATAATAATATTTATCTTATATTTAAGGCTAATAAGATAAATTTATTCTGTTTTTTGTTTGTTTGTTTGTTTGTTTGAGACAGGGTCTTGCTCTTTTGCCCAAGTTGGAGTGCAGTGGTTTGATCACAGCTCACCGCTGCCTCCAACTCCTAGGCTCAAGTGATCCTCCCACCTCAGCCTCCTGAGGAATTGGAACTATAGGAACATACCATATGCCCACCTAATTTTTTGAAAAATTTTTTGTAGAGACAGGATCTCACTATACTGTCCAAGCTGGTCTCAAACTCCTGGATTTAAGCAATCCTCCCACCTCAGCCTCCCAAAGTGCTAGGATTACAGGCATGATCTGCCTTGCTCAGCCATAAAATAGATTTGGCACTTAGGACACTGCCTCATTGATAGCAGTGTTCAGTCAATTAGCCATTATTATTTTTATTATGAGGATGATCTGATGTCTTAAAAAATTTTTGGCCTTAAATGATCCGTGTTCCATAAAGTGTTCAAGGAGTTTACAAAAATAGATAGTAAACAACATAAAATCAATAGATAATGAAACTGAGGTCAAGGGAACACACTGGTTAGAAAGTGAGATAAAGTCAGAGGTCGTTTACAGAACCAGAATAGATCATTAGGTGTGGATAGTTTTCAGAGATGGGAGTAAAAATTTGTCAGAGCTTCCTAGCGGCCAAAACAAAAAAGAAAACATAAATAGTTACCTGATCCACAGTGACCATGAGATAAAAACAGATCAGTTACACAGCTTTTCCTGGTCCTGAAACCTGGGATAACTTTCTCCTGGCAGGTCTTCAGTGCACTCACCGTTGCCATAGAGACCTAAGTCTTCA